CAGAGAAGAGAAGATTATCAGAAGTAAATTTAAAATCAAATTTTGAAAATCAGAACATAAACTAGTTCAAATTAAACAAGGTAAAAGAAAATCATGCACAGAATTAACATCAATTTTGTGAGGGGGACACGTGGAAGAATTATCATATTTTTAAAGTAATTCAAAAGTAAATTTGAAATAAGTAAAATAGAATGAAACCGTATTACTTACCTAAATGGAAATATAGATTCTTTCACGGAAATAAACAGAACGTTTAAACGCTAGTCACTTCAAAAATACAAAATTAAGTAAATTAAACAAAATGTAATAATTATGTTACATAATTATGTCTGTTGTATAAAAATATAAAAGAACTAATAAATTTTACATTGACAAACGAAATGTTGATAACAGTGAGAACATAGATAATATCCATCGAAATAAAGTTCTGCTACAAGTTTCAGCTTACATGATAAATATGAAGCAAAATATAACAATTTTATTTACCAGAGAAAAGAAGATTATCAGTAATAAATATATATTTTTTAATTAATTCAAATTTTGAAAATCAGCACATGAACTAGTTCAAATTAAACATGAAAAACAAAAATAGAATTAACATTAAGTTCTTGTGAGTAGAACAAGTGCAAACATTACTCTCTTTTCATAAATTTCAAAGGTAAATTTGTAATAAGAAAACAATTACACAAATGGAGATATAGTTTCTTTCAGGGAAATAAGCAAACACAATGTTTAAATAAGCGCCGAAAATAGAACATAATACAAATTAAACAAAATGTTTACTTTATTATTCAAATAATTATGTACGTTGCACAATAATAAGAAAGAACTAATTAATTTTACATTGAAACTAGGTGAGAACTCAGATAATAACCATCGGAGGACAGTTTCTGTACAAGATTCATAAACAAAATAAATTTATTTGCCACTATTTATTTTAAATTAAAAGTTTTATGCCGAGTTTTTTTTTTTCATTAGAATTAGTCTAATTTTGTTCCACTAAAAATAATCAAACCCAAATTCTATGTGAAAAATGCAATCGATTTTCATCGCTGGCAACAATCTAAATACATATATATTTAATCTTCATTTTTGCCTTTATAAAGTGAATATTTTTATATAAATTCATAATTCTGATTTATTTTTCTTTGACTTATTGAGAACGGGTATATGTTGCAACTGGAAATATTTCATGAAATGGTATTTACACTTTTGTTTTTCATAAGGGTAGGGCAGTTATTAAGAACATTAAAACTGAAACTGTTTACCGGAATAAAATTCCGAACACAAACTTAATATTTAAAGAAATGTCCTCATGAAACGTTAACGATTTTGAAGAAAATATTCTGTGCCATTATTTATCATGTTAAACCAAATTGAGTGCAATATCACGGTTCGAAAATCAACACGCCCAAATACATACATCCAATTGTCAGTTGAAGTTATTTTCATAAATATCACCTATTTCTAATTTTTAAACTATATATATTATAAGTATGTTTATGTTGGTTTGTGTGACAGAGATTGCAATGTGCAATCTTGAGAGTTAATTAGTTTTGAAGTGCATATTTTTGATACATGAAACTACGTGTTTTGGTTTCAGAGTAGATAGTGTTCCATGCATTCTCAGATACTGTGTGGCAAATGCTTATTGCGCGGCCATATTTTATTCACTTTGTTATCGATACTTCCTGTAGTACTAAGTTGACTCTTCTGCAAAGAACTGACTTTTTATGGACATGGAATTTCAACAATAGTGATGAATGTAGTTGCTTTTGAAGCTGAGCGTTCGACTGAGAAAAATGCTTGAAAGTTGAAAATACACATGAGTAAAGAATGACTTCGTCGACAATGAAGAAATAAAATGAATGTATAAACAAAAAATAAAACATCTTATCTAATGATTAAGAACAACAGAGGACACCAAAAATTGCCCCTGCGCAATATAATGTTGTCTATGAATTCTCATACAACCTGGAAGATTGCATCCTCATCATTCAGGAGGTAGAGAAAGAATTTCAGACTACCACACATTCACTACATTGATTCTTAAAATGGGGTGATATGGTTGAATATACTTGATCAAAACAATAATAGAATATGAACTCAGATAGTTTATCCACAATTTCGAGTACAGTACATACAAATGATTTGACAATTGGAAAATACAATAAAATCTTAAACCTACAGAGATCATTTTAATCAAACCAAATCAAATGATTCGAAAGAACCAACGAATCATTTGATTTGGTTTGGTTTGGTTTACAGAATATAAACCCTCTGGTTCATTTAATATCGATATTAATTTTCTTGGGAACATTAGTAATTTATTTTACAAAAAATTATTGCTGGTAATTTTTTTTAGATTATTTTAAAGTGTATTGCTTGTAAATTCTTTTTTACCATGGAAATATATTGCTGGTAATTTTTACTATAAAACACTTTCATAGTATTTTGATCTCAGTTTTTTTTGGGGGGTTGACCTTTTCAGTTTTGGGTTTTGGCCTTTTGCTATAAGATACTTTCATAGTGTTTTGACCTCAGTTGAAATTTCGGCCATCCCCTAGTCAGGATAGGCCTGGGAACAACAATTATTAAGATGAGTTTCCATGTTCCTTAAAACCTCCTGATCAGAAAGGAATTTTTTTTTTTAATATTACGCATGAGGGGAAATATAAAAAAAGAAGTTGAAAATGCAACTGGAGCCTTTAAGATTATTTATTTCCAGTAATCTTACCGATTTCACAGTTCTGTTTTTTTTTTTTTTTCAAAATTTAAATTAAAACAGATATCTGGCTATGTCATGGTATGTCTCTCATCTAACTAGAGTTCGACAATTCATCTCGTATTATGCAAAGGAAGTGACTAATTTTAATATGTCTATCTGTTTAAAATGCAATTTAATTGGTTGATTATGACCACGTGATCAGGCATAATAATTTTTAAGCTAAAAATCGATTATCATAAAATGGTGTTGTCAAAGATTGAGAGTTTTGTGTTTGGTGAGTGTCATTAATAGCACTAAAGTGTTAAATAATTCAAGTTTCAGAAATTATATTGGACCACTGTACTGATGATGAGAGGCGCTATGTGGATGACGTACGTATTGATGTTTGTGATAAGAATAATCTAGAGCCAAAAAACTAGCATCTTATATGAAGCTTTCTAAGAAATATCACTCAAGGTAAACCTTTTTAAAACAAAAGTTATGATCTAGAATTGAAAAGAAAGTAATGTTGGAGTCTACTCTGCATCCGTCATTACAATAATTATAATGGGTGAATCAAATACGACGGTGTATGTGTAAATGATAACAAATTTCATATAAGAGATGAGGAATCTGAGCACAGAATAGACTGCGTTGGATTTAGTTTCGCCCAACACTTCAAACTGCGACAAAAGTAAAACATTACCGTAACAACTCCAGTCTCAAAAGGTCGAGATTATTATACATGCTAGATGATACAACCACTTTCTCAGATCAATAGTTTAAAATAGTTTTCAGTGACGGAAGCATGTAAATTTAGCTAGAATATTCTTCCTTCAAACATCGGAGACTGGTGCTAAGTAATCACAAACAACCGCATCAGATGACAGAAACTACATCACCTGAATAATTACAATAGCCGCATATAAAATGGATGCTACATGTAACTCGAAGAGATAATACTGGTATAATGAAGATGTTTATGTTGCACACCACTTCAAACAAAATGTTAAAAAATCTCTAATCAATACTGGAAAACCCCATACAAGTGTTTTTCAGAAACTTATATCCCTGAAAAAATTCTTTCAATAGAAATATTTTATGAATTTAAAATGAAAATAATACTGGTTGCTTGGCCAATGAATACTGAATGTTTCCTTATGAGAAAACAGTTAATATTGTCATTAAGACGTTCTATACTATATATAAGCTCGAAACACTGACGTTCAGAAAACAAATGGCCTGACAACAGCTACCACTTTAGAGACTGCCCAATTTTCAAAGGTCTAGATTTACAAGTACTTGGGAAGTACCATATCCTACCACAGATTTTTAGGTAGACATATTTATCTTCAAATAAGCCAGGTATTGTCAGAGTAACTATGCAAAGATACCAAAGCCTAAGCTTGTCAACAAAGCTGGTAGTGTATATATATAATACAGTGGCTTTCCTTTCCTTTTTCTTTGGGTGCTTAACTTGGACCCATCTAGATTCTGCTTCTGTGGCCTGATGGCAAAATCACTGCAGAGAAGAAACAACACAGGTCGTGACTAAAAGAAACAATATTATTTATTAACATTGTTTCAGGCTCTCTGATTCAGTTTGCAGATACATTTGGGAAATCAGTCACAAATGCATAGGGAAAGCTTTCCTCAAACTTGTAAGACAGTCATATTAGACTAATCGTATCTATGTAGATGTCGGGCATATTTGCATGTAGACATTTCAAATGTAATGTCAAAAACCCCATATTGAATTGAACGACATCAATAAAAGGAATAAAATCATAAATAAAAGTATTTGTATAGAAGATTTAAAATGGAGTAAAAGTAACCAACTCGAAATTAATGTAGAAAATAATAATACATAGAAACATCTTTTGAAATTAAGGAAATTGTGTAGAACTTCACCAAAATAGAATATTACCATATGCCATCAGCGACTTCACTCTCATGACCGATTGTGGTTTTAAGGTCGCTCCACTGTTGAGTACCTAACCAGCTCCATTCACATATTTCTCTTGGGTGCCTTTGTCTGTATCTCAGTGAATGATTTTCCAGTACACAGTGATGTTATCAGCCCATTTTCTTCTGTATGGCTTTTTTTTTTTGTCTAAGATGATACCTTCTAGAATGGAAGGGGAAACTGATTTGCTCTTACGACGTAGCTATACCATTTCAATTTCTACTTCTTGGTAGTGGATATTATTATTATTATTATTATTATTATTATTATTCATTTTGTTCAGATGTACCCGTCTCAACTGATACTAAATTGTGCTTTAAAAAGAACATGTTTGACCACAGCTATTTGCATTTAGCGAATTTCTTTTTCTACCTGGTCACTTCGTTTTGTGGACGAGTCAGTTGAAAGTGTGTTTTTGTCTCCTTGTCTTCAAATAAGCGTCATAAAATCTGTTGTGATAGACGGGACTTCCAGTTTCATTGTTTTTTCCGTTGATAGAAAACATGTCTTGTCTAAGAAAATGAGTGACATGTATTGTTCCGTTAGGCTTGGTTTAGAATATCAGTCCAGCCCCCAAAATCCAAATCTATCAATAGGTAATGTCCTAAATGCTGCTGAGTTAATGGCAGGTGCATGATTCTGTTACTAACTAAGCAGTTAAACCATTCTCAGTAAAAGTTACTGTCAGTTTAGAAGCTTGTTAGTACATTTGATTTGAAATATTCGCTAATTACTCAAATGCGCCTGCTGTCACAGTAGTTGAGGTTGTGGCAAAAACGGAAATTCCCAATTGCTTCAATCCTTATTCTCAATTGCCCATGAGTTATATTAATCCTCAGTAATATCCACATTGGCTTGCATGGGTTTTATAGCCTTATTTGGCATTGTTCTAGAGTTGGTGTCACGTTAAAACGTCCAGCCCACTGTGCTGTGATTAATAGGAGTGGATAGGCTCACCTATCATCCGGATCGCACTCTTTCCATATCTATTGAACAAGATTAGAGGTTTATCTGTTGTGTCCTGTTTTGGATACGATTCACCGGATCTTTCGTCCTTTCTTTCTTTCTAGGCTATAATGATTAACTGCGTTAACTTTTTGGTGAGATACTGCGAATTTGCGTTATGAGAGTACTGACTGTTGCATCCGACTGGTAGTAATGAGCCTGGATACTTTGGTAGTAATTAGAGAGTCTGTTCTGGTCAACAGTTGCATAATATCGGAGTATTTGTCATGGCATGTCGCGCATGGGTTCGTGTCCTTACATGTATGTTTTTTGGGTAACCCTGAGGCTATATTAAGTTCTAGTATTAGCCACGCTCTGGCTTGTTTGCATTGCTATTTCATTACAGATAGGAATAATTATTCTTTTTCTCCTCAACACAAATCTCGTTATGTCAAAAACGGTCAAAATAAATACGAGAAAACCAGTAAACTAAATATTCACCTACCCCACCAAGCTTTCTTTCTTCAATATTCATCTTATCCATTACAACTTCAGCAGTACAGAATCTTTTCTCTTGGAACGGTCGCCAAATATCTTTGCACTCTGTGAAAACAATTTAAATTCTTCGATTGCTATCAATGAATTCTCTGTTCTGTCGAGAAGATTCTAGGCACTTATATGGATGTCCTTAGTGTTTGAATCCGGGATAATCTTCCAGTGCCAAGGAAATTTTCATTAGAGACATCTGATAATTCTTTCATTTCCATCTGACTTTACTTATTACACCCTGTAAGCTACCTCTTTTTCCTTTATCAGCCTGCACACTTCTCAGAACTGTAATATATTTGACCAAATATGAAACGGTGCTCTCTTCACCCATCTGCGAATATTTTTATATTTGGTGACTTTAATGTGAATCAGGTCAAGTTTGCTTAAACATTATAATGTTACTGATGTTGCTGCTATTCAGATTTTCAATTTTTCCGTTTCTTGGTCTTTTACTCAAATCGTGGATTTCCCTTATCGTTTCCTAATAAATCTGAGAAACATGCTTCTATACTTATTCAGTATTTTGGTAAGAACCATTTCCTAGAATTGTCTGCATGGGGAAATAAGTTTTATATAAGAGATATAGTTTGCCTAAAGTAATCATTCATTCTCTTTTTATTCAACCATCACGTAATGCCATTTACTATATCTTGCATCGAAGTATTGGATAGAGTTCAAGTAGGATATTTATGTATTCTCAAAGTGCTTTAGAGTTAAGTGAATATTTGGGAACTCAACCGGTTTCGAACTTAGTTTTATGATTCCATTTTCATTATCGTTATGCCAAAACTTACAATGTGAAAATGTAAATAACAAACGAAAAATAGAAAGAGAAAGAAAGAAATTAAATAATGAAAAAAAGAAAAGTGTATTTTCAATCAAGAGGATAATGACAATAAACCTTTAAAAAATAAAGAAAACGAAAGAAAAAATTAAAGTTTTCGCTTGTAAAGACATTTTATTTACCCCCTCTCTCTCTGTCTTTCTCTCTCTCTCTCTCCTCTTTCTCTCTCTCTCCTCTTTCTCTCTCTCTCCTCTCTCTCTCTCTCTCTCTCTCTCTCTCTCTCTTACTGTATGCTGGAATCATTAATGTTCAAATAATTGTGACTAAGTCTGTTTTATACGAGCGGGTCTTTGTAGATTCATTAGTGAATTGTTTTTTTTTTTCTTTTGCCCGTCAGCGTTCTTACATGTGTGTATATGCAAATACGACTGAGTATGTCTTTGTGTGTGCGCGCACGCAATGGTGATTACGTATATATGATTGCAACTGTAATCGATAATGGGGATATGCATGTGTCTATGTGGATGAATATCTCTATACGTGTGTGTATTAGTGTGTATATTTTGCCTATCAACGTTATTACATATGTGTATGTGAGAACAAGACTGAGTATCTGTGTGCATGCATGTGGATACCTGTATACCCATTCATGGTCGAATGTGTGTGTTTGACAGATAAATCTGTTGATACTGAGGTATTTCCCATTAGTGTATATATTTGATTTGTAAATGTCTATGGACTTGTACTCATCCCCCGTCGCCTGTAACACCATATGCGAAAATGTACGATTTCGTATGTATAGAATGGTGTGTTGTATGTGTGCGCGCATGTGTATGATTGTGAATACATTTGCCTAGATGCTTGTCTTCAAGTATTTGTGCAAAATACTGCGAATTTCTTGCAGTGACAAGCACTAAGCAATGTGTTCTACAATTGTAAAATCTTTGATCCAGGGCAAGTTAGCAACATCCTCCTAAAAATCAATAACCTATCCCTCCATCTATAAAGGTTCGATCTACTTTCAATCACAAATAATGCCAGTCATGCCCTCGAAGGCACCAGTTGGCACTGCGATCTGGATAACACCAGAATTGAAATTTCCAAACTTGTGATGTTTTATTTAGCAAATTTCCATCAATGGCAAACATTCGGTGCGTTTAAATTTAAATAATATTGTCCAGTATTTTCAAACAAGTTTTGAATTTAATTACTCTATCTCAAATGGTTAAATGGAGAAGTTGATTTAACTGAGATGTCTATCAACCATATTTTCCTTCAATTATCGAATTGTTATCGATCGAGTATTGCTTTTGATTGGTGAACCTATATAATACTATATTCAAGATACTTGTTTGTTACGCTGATTATAATTTGACATAATTCCTCATATATTTACACGCTTGCACAATAAATAATATGCACTATGGTAAAAAACGAATAGAGATTCAATCTCATAAATGATTAGATATATAATATGAGCCATTGTGAAACGACAGAGATCATTTAGTAACGTCATTTCGAAAAGTTGTTTTGGGTCATCTACCAAAGAAAACACGTCGGTGACACAAGCAGCCAAGTGAAAGCAAAATACGTAATTAAGACAAATGACTAAACCTACACCTTAGGATCATGTTGTTAAGATCATGGGACAAACAAAGTGGTCAGAACAGGGGTATATTTTTCCATGTATTTCTGATATAACGGAATTTTTCAAAAGATTTGAAATAGATATTCTTCTTTATTCGACACTGTGAAACAAGAAATCTCGATATCTTGGTTCGAATCATTTTCTCCATCAAATACAAAACAAATAATGCAGTTCCCAACCTTTACAGAAGATCACAGCTCGATTACAAACATTCCGTGATAGTAAATATACTGACGTCACTGATCATTTTAGACCAGTCGAAGTGTAATATTAACACTGCAGACCCATTTTTTGCATGTCTTTATAGCAGTGTATATTACAAAATGACCTCTTTGATAAAACCCATCAAATAAAGCTTATCAATATCTAAGACATTCAACTAAAATTGAGCTAATCTGCTATAAATATGTTTGAAAGCATTAGGTAGCTACGCAAAGTCGATTATATTCTTAGCAACATTATTTTCTTTATTTAACTTCAGAGTATCATTAATGATTTTGCCAAAGAATCCAACCCGGCACTAGGTTTTCGCAAAACACTGTATTCTAACAGAAAATCAATTTCAATGGATTTAATTGATAAATTTAAGGACATATATTTCGATATGTTAACAGTACTGGAACAACTTATTAGGTAGGAATTACTGAATGTTGCTCAAACAAGTGATAGACTGGGATGGTGGATGGATATGAGTTAGACGCTGCATATGGAGAATAATATTTCCCTAACGGCAAGTTAATTACTTTGGCTCTTTTCATATGCAATTATTTACAAAAAATCAATTTGCTAAACCAGTGACACCATTCTATATATTAAAATTTACAATATACAATTGCAAATTATTGAAATATAGATCAGTTTTTGATAATCGGGTAGTGAATATTGCCGTTAATCCCAAAACTTTTTTTTCTATTATTCCATCAACATTGTCACCATTCAAACAAAAAAAAATAAATAAAATTATATATATATATTTTTATATATATATATATATATATATATATATATATATATATATATATATATATATATATATGTGTGTGTATGTAGTGTATGTGTTTGCGTTTATTTTAGTGTAGTTTATGACTGAGATGATTGGCAGGGTATATTTTGCATTGTGTGAGATGCCTGGTGCATCGAGGGACTAACACCGATAGTTGAAAACCAATATCAAGCAGATATATAGACACCTACCGCAGATGCATAATGTGTTGCAATTAAGATTGCATCGCCAACGTTTGGGGTGAGACGAAATGCCACATATCTCCTGGCCAAACCTGGTTAAAGTTTTCGGGTGTTGAATGAACAGTTATGTTACACATGAGTGATTTAGTCTGGTTTTTTCATTACGCCAAACAACGTTATATATATTAAGTTCGACAGTAAATTGCCCGGAGCACACCTAGGTTCGATTATACCTCACTTGTACTGTCAGTGACATAGCTTGTGAAATTCTTTTTCTTTAAGGAATCATACTTCTTCTGAGCAGTCGAAAAAGTTTTGAATATATTCTGATGTTCACACTGGATTCTTATTGCGAAACCTTGTGCAGTTTGAATTAAATTTTCTGGTACTGCGGATATTTTCGACGAGCATTACAATGGGTCTTCATAATACTAATCCAATAACTTAAATCTTGTTAGCAAGTTAATCAGCTTTTCTTTAGTGAGCCTCGAATTCAGTAGAAAGTTTTTGCAAGTAAATCACCTTCGCGAATGTCTGACTGACACGTAAATGTAAAACAAAAGCTCTTTCTTTCAGCAGAGTATCCCTATCAACAAGGAATATCTGGCTGCTTTTAACAGCGTGGATACTTATTGAGAGTTGTTCCGTTCATTTTGATTGGAGAAACGCAGGGTCCGATTGGTGACCATGACATTTTGAAATAAAAAAAAAACGCTATCCTTAGCAAAGTACTAAGAAACCTGAAAATATCGTTAGAAACAAAGTAAAAGATTTCAAGTTTTATGTATTATCACCCCTCTTACAGAGTATGCACAGTAAAGTAATGGATTGCGGTTCGGACTGAGCAGTCGGAGAGTCGGGTTCAAATTCCAGTCAGGTTCATTGTATTCATTATTCTCACTTATGTCATTTTAGTTTCAGTCATTATATTCACTTACGTCCTTGAGAAAGGTATAAATTCATCTCCTCCCCATCTATGGGTTCTATAGCCTTGGGTGGCAAATATTCTAGCAGAAGGAGGACTGTGAATTCAAACTGTATGTAGCCCGGGCGAAACACATACTGTATAACTAAGGAAAGAATCGTTTACATTGACTCGATTATCCCGACTTCGGTCGATTCTATATAGTACTAAATGCCGGGAAATTTCAAAAGAGAAAGAAAGAGGAGGCTTGAGGCAAAAGAGATGTCGTTCTACATCTGTCGTTCTAGAGGTAGGATGGACAGAGCATGTGAGCAAGAAAGAATTGTTTCAGAAAATAAAATGCCACATACTTTTTAAAATGATTTTACCCACGCAAGTCAATAAAGCCACTAGGAAACAAGCGGTTACTGGGTGTTAGAAAATATGGTAAAAATTACTATTAAGGATAGAAAACAATAAAAGAATAAGAATTAAGAAGACAATTTAACATTTGAGAGTACGTTTCAATTCTTGAAATTTGATAAGGAAGCAAGAATCCAGAAAACAGTTCCACAAGCGAGAAATCCGATAGAAGAAACTGTTAGCATAGAACTTTCGGTTACATTTAGTAACTTCTACTTTAAAAAGGTTGGGTTATTTCACTCAATCTAATATTACCCTTGCATTCATAAAATCTTGTAACATATCTAAACTTCGCCAGAACAATTACCATGAAAGTATTTATAGAAAAGGCACCGAGAAGCTACATTATGTCTTTTGGAAAGGAGCAGAAGCCAAGACGCCAGGTCAGAACTAATAACTTGTAGATTCTTTTGTAGAATTTATCAAGGATCTTTAAATATATAGAAAGAACTCGAGACTAGATGTGGCTGTAATATTCAAAGAAAGGACGACTTGTAGACGCATAAATATGTAAGAAAAATTTTCTCGTCAGAATATGTTAACACGATATATTAAACCAAATTTCTTAGCTGCAGACTTAGCAATTAATTTGCTATACTTTTTCCACTTCATGTCAGCTGAAAACATTAGTCCGAGAAGGCTCAATGAGCCACTCTGGAGGTTAGCATCATGCAATGATGATAGAAGGTAAAAGTGGTATACATAGATAATTAAATGTGTCAGAAAAAGAACCTCTACTTAACAAGAAATGAGTGCGGCCATTTGGAGCCATTTTTATGCATCTTTTTTTAAACTGATTATATTTTCTATTATGTATTTTAAATGGAAAAATAAACAATATTAGAAATTTGATCATATTGCCGTCAGCAACGCTACAGGAATAGAATTATTAAGAATGAAAGTAAAAATTTAAAGAATGCTGTACACATATCAACGTAATAATATTTCTAACGAGTGGGGTGTTTTTTCTGTACAATTTTTATAAATTTTCTATATTTCTGTAAGCGGTAGCGTGAATAGCCATTTTCGTCAGTCAATAATCGAAACGTTAATCTTACTTTCAGGTGAGATTTATAAAAACTTTGTCTTAAAATATTTGTTTCCGGAAAATGCGTTTCTTCTGTCCGC